ATTCTGGTCTGGACTTCCGTCCTCCTCATCAGCCCACACGTCCAGCGGACTGACCTGTCCAATCCTGGCGTACTTGTTGAATTTCGGCCTCCGAGGGCCGTTTTCGGTCTGGGGGGCCATCAGAGACGGATTCAGGGCGACAGTTATTAGGTGTCCGCCCCGTGTGTGTTTAGTTTGTTCAGCTCCACCGACAGCGCGCAGCTTGTGTCGGCCTTCGTTGCACCGCTTGTTTCGTATGGAAGGGCTTCCGTGGACAAGTGCGAGTTGGCGCTAACGCTCGTTCTGAGGATCATCGATCTTGCCCCTGCACTCGGGCGAAGAAACCTACGCACGTGCACCGATTCTGACCATGCCCACCCCCGCCCTTGGATCGGTGCACGCGCCTCCCGGCACCGACCCGCGGCCCACGGATGGGCCTGGCCAGGACTGCTGCGCTCTGCGCAGGTCTCGGTCCTCGTGGTGCAACCGAGCAATGAAATGCCCGGTCTGGGGTCGCAGAGCTCCACTGGGAAGCGGAAGATTGAAGGCTTCCCAGATGAGGGCGGAGCAGATCGGGTCGGAGGGTCGCGCCACATCGCCGATGCATCGGGTAATGCGGCTCGGTGTGGAGCACGATCTCCTCCACGCCGACGTCGGCGATGCATCGCTGATGTATCGCCGATGCTTCGGCGATGCGTTGGCGATGCAGTGGGATCCTCCGACCCCATCTACTCGGACCCCATCTAGGAGGCCCCTAGATGTGGAAGATAGCAAAAAGATGAGTATGCCCGGTTTGTCGTCGCCGCCGCCGCCGCCGTCGAGGATGCCAGGGGCCGCGGTCAGCGGCCCGGACGATGCACGCTTTTTTTTTGTCGTCTCGTCCCTGCCGAGGTTTTTTGTTTGATCGTGTGGTGGCATGGTGCGCTTCACGTCTTGCGCAGGCGTTGGGACGGCACGCGCCCCGAGCCGCGACGCGGGACGCCACCTTGTGCCTGGATCGTCCGGTGGCATCGTGCGCTGGACGTCTCCCGGCGAGTACCGGGGCGACACGCGCCCCGTGCCGCGACGTGGAGCCCCGATTTGTTTCTCTGGATTGCTTGGTGGCATCGTGCGCTCCACGCCTCTCGAGGACGCCAGGACGGCACGCGCCCCGAGTCGCGACCTGGGGCCCACCGGCTTGTGCTCGGGGCCTCGGGCCGCAGGCCCAGCCGCGGGGCCAGCTTTGGGGCTGCAGGCGGTCGCCACCCACCAAACTATTACCCCAACCCAACCCGAAGGCCTCAACTTGCCAAAAACATTTTCAGTGGGGGGGGGGTCGGGGAACATGGACAAAAACACATGGAACCCGTACCCCCCCCAACCCGAAATTCGGGTCAAATTCGGGTCTTCGGGTTGGGTTGGGGCGGTCTGGTAGGTAGTCAGGGGGGGCACCGCGGTTCCCAGCCGTTCGAGGGGGGGGGGGCACCATTCGAAGAAAAACGATGGCATGAACCTTATTTTTCAGAGGTCCGCGCAGATTTCTCGGATCGGCGTTGGGCCCCCCCTGGCGGCGCCTCCGGCGTCGCCCCTGGTGCGCTCCGCGCGCTGGGGGAGGGTCCAGCGCCGATCCGCGAAATCCGCGCGGACCTCCGATAAGTCATGTGCGTGCCGTTTTCCATTCCTCTCACCATGGCACGCAGGTTTCGATCCTAATCCCCTCTGGGCCGCCGTCTGACCCAGAAACACGGGTTCGGCCGCGCGGACATTCGCGCATAAGCTTTCCGCGTAGGGTTAGGCGTAAGCGACCTCGTCTCTGTTGTAGGGCGTGACGCACGATGCAGCCGCCGCGTGCGGTCGCGATGTCATCGTACGTAACACCTTTGTCTTCTCGTCGCTCAGATGGGCATTTCATGTCGAGTGATCCCCCTGTTCCCCTCCTGACTGGATCTGTTGGTGCCTGCCCACCCATGGCAGGCCCCCCAGCCGCCTCGAAGGCCGAGCCGCGGAGCGTGCTTCCAGCACGGTCAGGAAGCCGAGACGAGGTCCGCTCAGGGCTCGGGGCGCGAGCTGAACTGTATTTTCGCGATTCCAAGGGCCGTTTACGCTTGATTTCGTTTTGCAGAACGAGAAAAATTTGAATTTGGAACATACACACTATCAATGGCGGGTTGTTTTTGCAATCCCACGGCTTTTCGAGGGTCGGGGACGACGTCGGGGTGGTGTGGTTTTCCGCCGTTCTCCAAGGGAAGCAACGAAACATGTATACACCAGGATCCCGTATACACCAGGATCCGCGCTCCCGTGCGAATTTCAGCGCAGGGTCGAAAAAAGCGTCGGTGTGTAGAGTGAGCTTCCCTAAAAAGTACATCAATAAAACGAAATCGGAGGTCGCGTCCTGGTCAGGACGCTGAAGCGAGGGCCACTCTGGGCCCAGGTGGGGCTGATGGGCCTGTTTTCCACCACCGCCACCAGAAGTTGGAGGGGGGAAGGAGGAGGAGGAGGAGGAGGAGGAGGAGGAGGAGGAGGAGGAGGAGGAGGAGGAGGAGGACGAAGAGGAGGAGGAGGAGGAGGAGGAGGAGGAGGAGGAGGAGGAGGAGGAGGAGGACGAGGACCCTCTCCCCCTCCAACCTAGAGTGGTGGTGGAGAACCAGGCCCAGGGCGGGGCTCCGCTCTTCGGGCCGCTCCTCGGCTCCGGGTCGGGGGGGGGAGTCCGCCCGTGGCCGAGGCCCGCCCGTGGCCAGGCGGGCCTCGGCGTTCCCCGGCGCTCGGCGCTCCCTCTTCGGAAGCTCAGTGACCGACGGTGCTCTTTCGGGGGGCCACGCCCTGAGCCCTGCCCCCCTGCCCCCCACGACTTCTGAGGGGGAGGGCGGGGTTCACTGCGCTCGGACGCTCCCGAGCGAAGTGGCCGAGGCTCGCCCTTGGCCAGGCAGGCCTCTGCGTTCTCCAGCGCTCGGCGCTCTCTCCGGAAGCTCGGTGACTGACGGTGCTTTTGTTGGACTAGGGGATCGGCTGCAGAATTAATTTACCCCGACATTGATTTTTCCGTCGGATCTACGAGAAGTGCGTAGAATGCTCCGTCGAAGCATCCTACATCTTTCTCGTAGATCAATTTTTGGGTCAATCAATTCTGTAGTCGATCCCCTACTCCATTTGTTGCTCCAGCTGCAGAGCAGCACCCACGAGCCCGCCCCGCCCTGCAGGCCCATTGCGATCCCCCAGAGCATGGGGATGGGTGCCTCTCCGTCGGGTTTCTCGAGGGCGCAGGCCGGGGGTGGGTGGGACGTGGGGGCCGAGGCTTTCCCAGTGTCAGGAGGGGAAAAACACACACACAGACACAATTAATCGTCGATCCCCAGGAAAATATGGGAACATATGGGAAGTGGTGGGGAAGACAAAAAACCAAGAAACTATAGGAAAATATGGGGGGAATCTTTTTGTTTGTGTGTATTTATCTGTGTGTCACAGTTTCCCTTCACAGTGGGTGGGGATGCGGACGGGCCAAGCGAAGGCGGCCGGGGCCGAGTGGCACAAGATCTCGAGATCGGCTCGGGGCGGGCTTCCTGGTGCTCTTCTTGGGGGCCGCCGCCCTCGACTGTTCCTCCGCTCGGCCGGCGGACGGTCTCGTGTTCTTGGTCGGGGCTTCGTAGAGGGAGGGTTTTACTCCAGATTTCGTGATAAAGGGAGGGGGTTCTCATTTGGGGGGGGGTCTCTTCCAGGCTAGCTTGGAGGGCCTGGGGTGGTCTGGGGACGATGTTTTGGAGGGTTCTCCCACGGGGGAGGTCTGAAGTGGCTTGTCTTGGAGGGTCCAGACCCCCTCCCTTTTATGACGAAATCTGGAGTATCCCAGGGTGGGGCTGGGGAAGGGGCCCAGCTGGATGCTCCCGTTTCGCGCGTTTCCCTTTTTCCAGGGGCCGTTCGGAGCGATCTTCCTCCCAACCCCACCTTTGCCCCAACCCCACCTCTGTACCCCACCGACTTGAAGGATCCTTTTCTGTCTTAGGTCCGGCTGCACGAAACAGGTGAAGAGCATAAGCTTTCGGAGGTCCGCGCGGGTTTCTTGGGTCGGCGCTGGCCCCACTCCTCGGGCGAAGGGAACTATGCACATGCACCGATCCTGGCAAGGCCCATCCCTGACCCAGGATCGGTGCATATACCTTCCTAGCCAAGGTAGGAGGGCGTATGCACCGATCCTGGGCTCAGGATGGGCCTGGCCAGAATCGGTGCATGTGCATAGTTTTTTTTCCTTTAACTCCCTGGCGCTCGGAGCGCGCGCGCCAGGGACGGCGCTGGCGCCGGTGCGCCACACCGGGGGGGCCCAGCTCCGACTCGTGGCAAGCAGCGCGGAACCCAGACAGATTGCGATGGTGTTATTTGTTTCCTTCGCCTTCTGCAGTCGGGGCGGTGGAATATGGGCCACTTCGGGCTCGCGATGGGGCTCTGGCTTTGCGCACCCCGAGATCCTTCAGTTCGGCGATCTGGCCCTTGAGCGTCTCCATGGCGACTGGGGAGGCGAGGATTACTCTGAACTGATGGATTTCGGTGTCCCGGCACACCGAAATGGGCCAGATCGCAGAGCTGAAGGATCTCGGGGGGCGTATGGTTTTCGGGCCGTTCCTCACATCCAGGTCGGGGGACCTGCTCGTGGCGTCGGGGGACCCCTGCTCGTGGCTGGGGCTCGCCCGGGCCAGCGAAGCGCCTCCGCTCCTTGCATTCGGCGCCCCCTGCGGTGGCACGATGAGTGTGGTCTAACGATACGGCCCACCTCGATCTGGAGATCGATTTCGGACAGTTCGTTCCGATTCGACTTCGACTCCCCAGCGACTCCGTGCGGTCCGACCCTCGGTGCGGCCAGTCCGACTCGACCTCGGCCCCGTGCCCGTGCGGCCCCATCCGACGCACGCTCCGATTCGACCCCGGGGTCCCGACCCGATGCCGGCGGACCCTGCGCGAGGGAGGGCAGGAAGCGCACGCGGGGGCCGCGGTGCCCCGTGGGCGGGGCGCTGCCTCGCGGCGGCGGGGGGGGGCGTGCCGGGGGCGGGGAGGCCTCGGCGAGTTCTGGGGCGCGCGGCCTCGCGAGGGCTGGTACGCCTCGAACCACGGCTTCTGGCAGGAG